TGGGGGAACAGCTGTATACACGACGGCCTGCGAGGCGTTGGCCATCATCTGAGGCTCAGTCGTAACAATGATCTCACGAGTGGTGTGGATGTGATGGATGTGTTGCTGCTCTCCTTTCTTGCGGCAAATGACAAACAGGGCGTGAATTATGCCGGGAAACCACGCAATGCATGTCAGGATTAGGTTTAACACGAAGTCCAAATTACAGCCCCTGTCCAACAGCACCGCCACCGGTGGTAATATGACCGCAAAGACAACCTTTATAAACATACACATTGCTTGTTGTGAAATAATTTATTGGAAATTAATTAACATTGAAATCCGTTTACAAATATTACGAAATTACTAAATATTCAACGAAATAAATATTGAATCAGTTTTAGGAGAAAGTAGTCTTATTGCTGAGAATTGGTCTCATTTTATCGATATTTCTCTAGAAACTGACAGTTAATTATAAAATTTTTCTCATTATTTCAAAAACAAACATTTACTTTATGTAAGAATTTACAGAATATATGATATTGTATTTGACGTCAATAACAATATGGTCTATTAATGCATAAGTTTGTATGCATTTGTGATCATAGATGCCGTTATAGACCTTAGATTATGATTTCATAAAATCACAGAATCGAGTGATTAAGTTGTTTATTGATACTAATGTTAAGAATCCGCTAATTATTTTGTTTATTTTAAAAGTTAATATAATTTTTGTTAATCATATGTTAATAATTGCTTATTTTATAAATACACTAAAGGATTATTATTACATAAATAAATAATGATGGTCTTATAAGCAAAATAAAATTGACAAAATCAGTTGTCTAACTACAGTATATTTAATTGAATTAAATGTATAATACTGTAAATGAATAAACTTTTGTTAAAATCCCAGTTATTATAGAAAAAAAATCCAAATGTTTGTTATTTGGTTTAAAATAAGGATGAATTTGTAAATAAACAAAAACGAGAGTTTAATGATCTATTCGTGGGAACTGTTTGTCTCGGTTTTGACTATAAATTATTTATAACGTGTGATATAACTATAAATATATATTATTTGATGAAATAGTGATGTGAAAGACAGATGAGCTGTTGATATACATATTTAAGAGGTGTTATACTGTATGTTATGATTAGATATATTAAAATTTCTTTATAAACCCATAAATTATATCCATTTGAAAGGATTCCAGTCTTCAGTGTAGGAGTTATTTAAACAAAATAAATTGAATGCACATTATATAGCAATTTACACATTGAATATAATCATAATATTTATACTACACTATACTTTATACTATAAACTAAAACTATTATATAATATACTAATCAGGTTTTGACAAATATTTGCATAATTCATAAATATATTCTTTAATTTAAGAATTGAGATAAATAAATGAAAAGTTGTCAAAAAGT